CTGTTTGACACAATTCCCTTGCTCTCTTGTGAAGTAGCATTTTTCTTTTTAGTCCTTACCAAAGAAGCATGAGCACTGGAAAGAGGGAATGGTTATCTCTTCAATTTAGTGTGTGTAAGTGTCAGTCTATGCATCTCAGCCTCCATTGCTCTCAGACAGTTTACCAGTGAAAGTTTGACAAGGAAACGTGCCAACTCAGCTACCTCATGGGCATAATGAGACATGCCTTGTATGATTTATACAGATTGTGTCAGAACAAGAAGCATTTTTGTATATTATTTTTTACAAACATGAGCCACCTATTGGGTTAAGTTCTTAACAGCCAGGAGCAGATAAGAGAAAGCTGTTGTATTTATAGTTTCTCGCTTTTCCCATTTGAAAATGAATTTTTTCTTTTTTTTATCAAGTAGTTACTTATATGGTGTGCAAGACATCTTCTACTATGCTGTTCCACCCAAGGAAGGCTAAGGAGCAGCAGCTGACTTGGCAACTGCCCAGCCAAGACTCTTCTGATTTTAGAGTTCTGTATTCCTCCAAGGAACTCTGGGATGGAAAGCAAAGTGGAGAGGTCTTAAAGGTTTCAGGAGCCAGTGCAGCTGGGGATTGTTAACAACAGTGGGAAGAATGTATGTGTGTGGGTGTGTGGGTATGTCAGTCTGTGTATGTTTCTCTGTGTGTATACTTATGTGAGCCTGTATGTGCCTGTGTCCATGTGTTTGCGTATATGTGTATGTATTTTTAGTGCGATGGCCAAGTGCTTTTTCGTCTGTTTAGAAGGAAAATTCATTTGGATGAAAATACCTTGTTCACAGCTTGGTAAGAACACTTTGTTTTATAAAATGTACTTTAATTGGAATGGTACATGGATGATGGAGAACGAGGTGTCCTGGGAGAAACCTCACTCAATGGGTAACTTGTGGCTCTAATAATAACTAGGGAAGGTGGTGACTTAAATGACACAGGAAAGCCAAACTTTGCGGTGCGCCTTCAGATTGGTTCATATAGCAGAAACCACCAAGACGGAAGTAGAGCCTTCCTGAGCACACTACTAAAGAGTGAATCTATAGTCAGAAACTTCTCTTTTGTTTCCCAGCCTCCTAGACCTGAGTAATCACGCAGAAACTCTATTAATTACAAACTGTTCAACCAATAATTCAGGCATATTTCAAGCTAACTCTTATATCTTTATAAGAATTAACCCATTATAGAAATTAACCCATTTCTATTAATCTGTGCATTGCCATGAGGCTATGACTTACTGAAAAGGTTCCAGTGGTGTCTGTCTTTTTTGGCAGCTACATGGTGTCTCTTTGACTGCACCTACTCTCTCTATATATCTCTTACAGCCTGGCTATATTCTGCCCTACTATAGGTCAAAATAGCTTTATTCGTTAACCAATAAGAGCAACATCTTAAAGACTTCCTGTATCATCTCCTCTTTTCTGTCTAATTAAAAAGAAATGTTTTAATTTTAACACAGTAAAATTATATATAACAAAACAGTTATCAAACAAGAATTATAGTTACAATATTTAGTCCATTTACATTTGGCAGATTAAGGAAAGTACTCTATCATCTATCCTATCTTTGTGAGTCTAAAGCTTTATATCTAATTTATCTTTTATCATAACTAAGGAAAACTATAACTGTTTAGCCTTCAATGCCATCAAAGACCCCCCAGAAGGATATATTACCTAAGTAAACAGGAAGTGCATTGTAAGCAGCTTTTAAAACTCAAAGTTGATAGAGACCTCTCCCTGCCTGCCTGGACAGTCACCCAAAGTTCATCTGTGAGACTGGGGGCACCTGCCTTCAGCCTACAGGTCCATAATATCTGGCAGACTTTTCCATGTAGCAAGAAATTTGAAAGACTGTTTTGCCCATATTTGTAGTTTGTCAGTCACTTTCTTTTGTGTCTGGCAGACTTTCACGAAGCAGGAACCCTGAAGGACTGTCTTGCATTCTTTAGGCAAGTTTAGCAGTCATTTTTCTGTGGGTCCTCCAGTTTATACAACATACCATGAAGCAGTCCAGACAAGAGCAATTTCTTGCCCAAATGGCTATCCAATTCCATAAGGAGCCTCTTTGATGTCCATCATCCCCTAGAAGTAATTGGTGCTTCCAGGAGCAGATGTGTCTCATTGTCATAAAAGTCTAAGTTGTTAAAACATTTAAATGCCATATTCTGTAAGTCTTTGAAAAGGTTGAAGAATACCTGTCCATTTGAAATTTATCTCCGTACATTTAGAAAACATAACTAACATGACTACAAGTTTGACTATTATAAATGACTACTTATTAATCTGTAATTTTTAATATACATTTTTAATGAAATATATAAGCATAATACTTTAAACAGGAGCAGAAATATATATACACAGTGTAACAAAATTGACCTTGAATTTGTATCAATAGATCAAGATCTATACCAGTGCAAAACATTCATTTCTATATCATATTCCCCTTTAAATGAAAACAAACATTTATAGGCAATCATTTTGAGAATTTGGGCATCATTTTCTCCAACTGCTTTCTGCTTTCTGTTGGGAAAAGTACTTTTAGAGTTCACAGAGAACTTTCGGAGGGTCTTGTTCTATCAAACCATATTAGCTTGGAAGAATCAACAGACTCTCATTTCCTATGGAAATAAAAGCAGAACCTCTTTTCCAAAGCAACATATCCTTAAATTCAAATTTTGAAGTCAAGATACCTTTAGAATATATATGTTAGTTTAGCTTAGCAGCCCCCAGAATCAAATGTCTCTCTGCAGTCAAAAAATTTAATGAAAACACAATAATTTTCATAATTTAGACTCTCTGTATATTTTCTATCTTTACGTGACTTTTTTTACTCCTTTAATCTATGTCTGTCTGTACTCTTTTATATTACTTTTACTGTCTCTTTAAAGGCTTTGTTTTATTTTTTAAACTATTTCTTTCTATAACTGTCTATACTCTTTTTCTACTCTCTTCCAAGCCTGTGTACATGTTTTGAACACACCGTGTCTCGTTTAGAGGTCTTTATGTCTGAATCTGTCCTATTGTGTATCTGAAATTCTTTTCTGACAAGGAACATTTTAAAGTGGTAAAAGGTGTGGTCTCGGTGGTCCTGGATGCTGCCTCCGCCTCTTTCAACCTTTTAGTATGTCAGAGGTTCCTTTACTGCCAGCTCTGGGATGGGCTGGTTAGGAGTCACACTCACCACCTCAACTCTGGGAAGGAGCGTGCAGCACATGAACCCTTTTTGTCTGAGTAAAAGCTAAATCTGTCATGCAGCGTGCTGTGCAGCCTGGAAATGTCTTCGTGTATGTCAGCAGGAATCTACCATGCTCTCCAGATTGTGCATGCCTAGCAGGCTCTATCCAGCTGCTTGCCCAGGTGTGGGTATTGAGTGGCAGGCATGCTCTTAGCTACTTTCCTCCTAACCCCCAAGCGGACATACAAGTACCCAGATCCAAAATGTGTGACTGGTCACACAGGTTAGCCCCAAACATATGGGCACCATTTTGTTGAAGGAGACTGCTCTTTTGTTTTCTGGCCACCCAGACCCAAATAATCACACAAAAACTATATTAATTACAACACTGTTTGGCCAATGGCTCACATACAGGAATCAGTCTCACTTGTTTACAGATTCAGGAGTCCCGTAAAAGTACTAAACTGAAAGTACTAAACTGAGAGCTATAGCATATATGCAGCGGATAGTGTGTGTATATATATAGTGCAGATCTGGGTAGGCCCTGTGATTGCTGCTTCAGTCTCTGTGAGTTCATATGAGGTATGCTCAGCTGTTTTAGAGAGCCTTATTTTCCTGGTGTCTTTTGTCCCTTCCTGTCTGCCTGACTTCTTCAGTCTCTTCTACTACAGGGTTCCCTGATTCCCACGGTAAGGGATTAATCTTGTTTGGAGCTGTGTGTTCCAACATATCTTTATTTGTATAATGTCTGCTTGTGGGTTTCTGTATTTTTTCTGTCTGCTGCAGGAGGAAGCCTTTCAGGTGATGATTGAATAAGGCACCAATCATGATTGTAATTATTATATCTTGTTTGCAGATGGCACTTTGCAGTTTTTCTCCCTCTCTTCCATTCTTTCTGCTTCTTCTTCCACTCTATGCTCTGAGCCTCAGAAGGATGCTACAATGTCTTGTTTAGGAATGCAATTTTAAAATATTATGTATTGTTACTCTGTGTGTACACAATGTGGGGGACATACAAGTGTCACAGAGCTCATATTCTGGTAAGTTGACCATTTTGGGGGAATCACTTTGCTCCTTCTACTGTTCAATTTCAGGTTTTGAACTCATTTCTTTCAGCTTGAGTGAAAAGCACTCAATAGGCATCTTCTCTATTTATTCATTGACTGTGCTACAAAGTAAGAAGAGCTTATCTCCTCTCTTATTTCTTCACTCGTTTCCATCAGCATTGCTTCTTTGGTTCTCAATTTGCTCAGTGGTTATAATCCATCATTGTCACTTTGTGGGGAGATTTGGCTAGTAAGAGACCTTCAGGCTAACCCCTGAGGCTTTTCTATAAGTCCTTCTCATTCTTGTAGCATTTCCTTACTCTCTGTACCAAGCTAGTTCAGATCCATTGCTATGTCATGGGTCTCGGCTTTATGCCTTAGGTAGAGACTAAGGCTGTGTGCACGTGTGCACATGTGTATGTTGAAAGAAGCTGTACTGTGGAATATTGCATTTACTAAATCACTAGATACAGTATTATGAATGTATAAGTGTTTAATGTTCTAAGTTCAAACACAAGTGCATTTATTTTACATGTAATAATCATAAGTTTTGACAAGAAAGAAATACATTTTTCATTTCACAGTAAATGGCATTACAGTTTTGAGCACTAAATCATCTTGACATTTATGAAGGAGCAAATGGAAAGTAGGGAATGAGTGTTAAATATAAAGCTATCTTTAACTGTTCTATTAAAAAGGCGAAGATTTATTTTCCATCTGTGAACATGAATGTGCCTATTTGTGTTCTTGTTCACACAGTGGAATTTCTGTGGAGCCACACTACAGAGAGCATGTGCGTAGGATATATGTCAGCCCAGGATGGAAAAGCCAAGGTAAGCGGGAAAACTGGACCATAATCTGAAAACCTTGTAGCCAGTGCATGTGCTTCAAACCAGCTTGTTGAAACAGATGACTTTTCCACCTCTTGAGTAGAAGCCAATGAGCTTCGTCTACAGCACAGTTCACAGTTCCAAAGAAAAATCAGTAGATTTTACAAGTTCTTCTCATGATGGAACAAGATGAGTGAGAAACCCTCTTTCTTCTTTCATTTTGTTCCTTTTTCTCCACTGTGGATACTTGCGAAGAGGAAACTCAGGATTTGTGAGAGAAAATGAGAGCAATGCTGACAAACTGACCAAGATGTCTGATTCCTCAAGGAAGGTTGATAAGGATAAAGGACACTGAGGCCATGTAAGAGTAGCTCGGGGGTGTATCTTCATCTTTCGTAACAGAAATGGCTGGCGGACTTGTGGATCTCACTTACGCTCTCTTGTTGTCTGCTGTGCCCTGTTATGTGTCTACCCAGACTTTGCCTCTCTGTGCCACATGACCTGCCATGAGTCACCGCAGTCATATACTCATCCAGCAGCAGTTATTGAGTCGCTGGTTCTCCGTGAACTTAAAATTCTTGATCTTGGGAGTAAAAAAAATCCCATAATTTGTGGATTTATTTTTATATTTTTATATATGCCCCACATTTCTGTTCATGAAAGTTTTAGGAACAGCTGTGCTTTATGACATTTATTTGGCATTAAAGCACCTCAGCTGCAGAAGTTAGGCAGCCTCTTTTTTGAAAAATAGCATATTTACATATTTGGAAATAGCAAATAAAGAAACTTCTGATATATGTCGTCTATTACACATTGAGTAATTTTTTAAAAAGAAATAGAGAAAGTCAACTAAAGAGTATAGTAATACAGCATATTGATATTTTGAATAGCAATAAACCATGTGTGTGACAGTGGACACCAAAGATTACGTTGCCAAGTGATGTCATACATATGATGCTCACTCAGTGATAAAATAGCTTACTGACAAATTTTCAGTTAGATAACACATGACTGTAGTTGATTGTTCATTTTTTATACACTTCTCCTCCACAAGTATATTACCTAGTAAATCAGTGGGGTCACCAAATGTCTGTGAATGTAGCATATAGGAGCATTGTCACAGCAAGAGATTGATATTTGTGAAATATTGCTGAGCTCTCTCTCCCCTCCCATTGTCTCAGCTTCACCTGATAAACCTTGCATTTTGCTTCAGGAGACCTATTGCATAAGATAATTTATAGATTTTTTTGTTTCATAATCTTTCTGAAATAAAATTGTAATTGTGTCCTTTAAAGCTGATTGGCATGCCTGGAGCAAAACCTACCAGCTTTGTCACAGTAGTTGAAGCATTGATGTCTGCGTCATCAAGTAGAGCAGCCAGAGCCATGAGGTGAAATTATTGAGCATTTGAAATGTGGCTACTAGAACTAAAGAACCGAATTTTAAACTACACTTAATTTTTTACTAGTCACGTGTGGCTAGTAGCTACTATATCAAGCAGCGTAATGAACGAGTGGAAAGTGGTTATTCAGATAGTTCCAAAACACGTCCAACAGCACTTTCCAAACAGGAAGCAAACATAATAAGCCGTAAGAGTTTCTTGTAGCCATTTAAACTTTCTCTTCCACTCTGAATATTGTTCTTGAGCTAAGATCTTATTTAAACAAAGGATCATGATGAAGAAGGTAGGCTTCAACTCTGAGGCCAGTTTGCGGAGGTAGGGGCTGGGAAAGACAGGGAGGTGAACCAAGTCCCTTGAGTGGAAGTGTCTGCTTTCCCTGCTGGTCATCTCTGGAAGACACTTGCCATTTAACATACAGTACAGATAGTAAAGAAAGCACAGAAACTTAAGTTGGATCTAGAGCTATTGGCCTTCAGTTGTGCTGCTTGCCATATGAGAGGTGTGATTTTAGTGTTACCTGTTAAGTTCCCCAGCTGGGAATGTGGAGGTCGTATGAATTGGGCCAGCTTCTCCACTTGCCTTATTTGTAAATTATGTTTTTAACCATTTTCTTTTCAGAGAGTTAATCGTTCTTTCTTTCTTTATTGTTTGAATTATAACTGTAAACGCTTTCCAGGAAAATAAAATAAAGCAATAAGACATTGCTCAATTCTATTGTTTGAAACAACGGCAACACACACAAAAACCAACAAATTTGTTCTTTTGTCAGAAATGCGGGGATTTTATGGTGTTGAAACTGTGACAGAGAATATAGATGAGACTATGGGTTCACAAACAAAAGGACTTTAGCAAAGTATGTGTTCCAGAAAGAGCGGCGGCTTTTGCCTACCTCACTGTTGTATAGGGCCTTCGTTGTTTATCATGAAAATGTTCTCTCCACAGTGCAGAGAGTTAGTATTAAGATTGACAGGAAGCAGCTTTAGAGACTGTTCTTTTTATTTAAAACCTTTCTTTCAAGAAAAAATGTTCTATTTCCCCCAAATCACCCTCTTTTTCCTTGTTACCAAACACGGACCCTAAAAGCACTTGAACGTTTTACATAAAGCTATGATTAATTCATGTTAAAGCCTTGAATTAACACTCTCCTCAAAGTCACACAGCTCAGAAAAGGTAAGGAGTAACTGGGGGTTGTGATCAGAATCGTAGATAATCTGAATGAAGGTGGTTTCTCTGTACATTTTTAAAATAATATTTTCTAAAAGATAAAGCGAAAAAAATTTGTGTCATTTAATTTATAACCCCCTTCTCTGGCATAAAATAAATAGACTTATTTTTATGGAACAAACATGAGCGCATTGACACTAGTTAGGTCTAAAAATTGTACTGCCCATTTTCTATAGTGACTGGGCAGTTAATGAGCAGTTTTCATAAATACTCAGTGCACATAGTCTAGTGCAATAAAACATATTTAAACTGGCATGGAATTGATTCAGGCACATAACTCTCACCCTAAATGAATTAGGTTTCTTTTATATATAGAGGTTACTTTTTTATAACAACAGTATAAATACTGTTATAAAATTTATCCTTGAAGAGGAATGGGCTATTTTATACTTTGAATATCTCTCTAGAGATTTATTATTAGTTCTGGGGAAAAATAGTAATTGCATAATGGAGAAATAAGCAACACTGAGACTGTGTGTTCAGAATTAGGGTCACTGTTGAGGAACCGGCTTACAGTGTACGTGCCTCTGGGTGTGACAGCCTGAGAAGGACGGTGTCATTTGTGTCGTTTACCACTTGGAAGTGCATAACATGAACTTAGAGATGGCAGACAGACAGACAGATAGACAAGTCAGGAATGAAGAGCTTGCCGGGAAGAAAATAAAAGGGGGCGATGGTATAAAAAAACTGTTAAATGCCAGAAAAAATAAGGACAGAGAAAGTGTTCCAGGTTGAATACTACATTTTAGGTCAATTTGCAAAATAAGACTTTGAAATTTGAAATATGGCTAGCAAAAAGAGTTGCAATGTTTATAAATTCACTAAAATTGATATCTGTTATGATTTATTGGGACATATCCATAATTTTAGGCAGCATGCCCTGAAGTATCTAGCAAGTGGGGACTTGTGCTTGTAATCTTGATGTTTCAAAAAAGTAGTATGTAAATAAAAATGTGGATAGTAAATTACCAAGTAAGTGGAGCAAAATGCTGACAGCAGGTAAAGTGTTGGTAAGTATTACATGATACTTAAACTATTCATAATGTTTTTGTTATTTTAAGTTAAAATGCTTCAAAATATATCACTTGCATGTAAGTCAGATCTGATCATTTTGTGAGCCTTGCAGTTAAGTTATACAGTTCAAAAGTATTAGTCTTGCTTTATAACCTGTTCTGAATTGAATGGGTGACTACACTCCTCTAAACCACTGTCTGGTTTGTTCTCTGGCTAAAACTGAGAGGTGAGACTTTGTCACTATCAACATGCCTCACATTAAGGTGTCTTCTGGAATATTAACCAGTCTTTGGCTTTAAATATTTTAGCTACTTAGGAAATATTTACTTGTAATATCCTCTGGTCTGTGTATCAAGCTGTGTTCATATTTTGCAGATGTTGCCCTTGTCATTATTTCCCTTGGATTAGGCAGTGGTTTTTAAAAATATGATACGTAAAAAATATGCAGCAAAAGGGAGAATAAATTATTATCAGTATTAAAACCTTTGCTGCAAAGATCTAGGAACTGAAAGACAGCTCCTAGAATAGGAGTTTGTTAATAATGCCATTGGTGAGGTATTTGCCATCAGTTCAGAATAAACTTAATATTCCTGTAACTCAACAAGAAGATGCAAATAAACATTTCTCTAGTTTAGGTATACAAGCAGCAAGTAAGTATATGGAAATACTCTTACTGTCAATATTCATTGGGGAACTGCAAATCAAAACCATAGTTTGATTCTACTTCTCATCCAACATGATGTCTATAGGAAAGAAGAATAAGTTCATTAGGGAAAAAAATAGAACCTTCATAGACTGCTGGTGAGAATATGGAAAAGGTGTTTCCCTTTCTGAAAAACAGCATAATAGTTTCTCAGAGGTTTTTAACAAAATTTCCACATTACCCAGCAGGTCTGCTCCTTGGTATATACTAAAGAAAATTAAGATGTTTGTTTATACCAGGGTTGATCATAGTTGTTAAGAAGTAGGAGCAACTTAATGTCCATCAGCTGATGAATGAATAAACAAATGTGTTGTATTCATGCAGTGAATTTTTTTTTGTAATCACAAAAAGAAATGAAGTTCTACAACAGGATAGTTCCAGAGTTCTTGAAAACATGATGCTAAGTACAAGAAGCCAGGTGAAAAAGACCAGACATTTCATGATTTCATTGCATTAAGTGTCTAGAATTGAAAAACTCATAGAAACAAATGTAAGAGATTAGTGGTTGTGAGTGCTGAAGAGGGGAGTATGGAAACCGAGTTTGCTTTCAAGGATATGAAAATGTTCTGAAATTAGAAATTTGTCCAACTTTACAAACACTTGACAAACCACTGGATTGGACATTTATTTAAAACGGTGGATTTTATGATAGATGTGTTT